TGGGTTTTCATGATGACGAGACCCTCAAGTGGCCTGTGGAGCTGGCTCCCATGAGGTCATCAGACCCAGCTGCGCACATTGCTTCCCAGGTCAGCTAGGCGCACTGCTTCCCAGGTCAACTGTGTGCATTGCTTCCCAGGTCAACTGGGCGCACTGCTTCCCAGGTCAACTGTGTGCATTGCTTCCCAGGTCAACTGGGCACATTGCTTCCCGAGTCCACGTCATGCTGGGAGTGGGAGATTGGCTGTGTGGAAAAATGTCTACACCACGGAAATTGGCAGATACGTGGTGACCCAGCAAACACAGTTGACACCTGAAACATAATTTTTAGGAATAGTATTTAATGTTGTGTGTGGGATCCATTCTGATCTCTATCCTTCCCTTCTTACCTGTTTCATTAAAACAGAAGAAAAAGCTGGTGTCACTCACTGAACTGATTTCATGACCTGCAGTTTGAAAAACATTGTTTTGGAGAAAACCGGAGATTATGTATGCTTTACAGAGTCAGAAGACTATTATTATTATTATTATTATTATTATTATTATTTGAGACGGAGTTTCACTGTGTCACCCAGGCTGGAGTGCAGTGGCGCGATCTCGGCTCACTGCAACCTCTGCCCCTGCGGGTTTAAGCAGTTCTCTGCCTCAGCCTCTGGAGTAGCTGGGATTATAGGTGCCTGCCACCACACCCAGCTAATTTTTTTGTATTTTTAGTAGAGATGGGGTTTCACCATCTTGGCCAGGCTGGTCTTGAACTCCTGACCTCGTGATCCACCCGCCTCAGCCTCCCAAAGTGCTGGGATTACAGGCGTGAGCCACCGCGCCCGGCCAGAAGACAGTTATTTGAAAAATAAATTGTAGTAACAGTTGTAGATAGGATGATTTCATCTTGAAAGGAGGAGAAGAAGAGTCCTACAAGGCTGACAAGATGACCTCTCTAGACTAAGGACTAAGGATACCTGCTTTCAGGAGAAGAAAAACGAGCAGAGAGAAGCGGGAGCCGTCAGAGATGGAGGGAGGGAGGGGCTGGGAGCACGGCCTTGTGTTTGCCTGGGGAGAGGAGGCCGTGTTTGATAGTGAAAGCTGGTTTTAGAGAAAGTCACCTGTTCTGGAGGATTGAGGAATGAAACTGGAAACCTTAGGAGAAAAGCACAAACATTGGTTGTACTTGGTATTTTTTAAATTGCTTTTATTTAGTTAGCTGGAAATGCACTTTCCCAGATCCACTGTCACTCCTGCAAATTACAAGAGTGCTCAGCCACCCTGTGGAAGGTCATCCAGCTTCCAAGCAGCAGATTGGACCTGATCCCTCGCGCCGCCCCTTGCCGCAGAGCTCTTGTCCACACTCGCCGGCAGCGGTGGGGAGTCCAGAGGGGAGGATGCGTGGCCTGTGGTGGTCTGGCCAGCCAGGGCAGGCGTGAGCTCGCCACAGGCCAGGCAGGCATCCAGTGCTCTTTGTGGCCTGAAGTGGATTTGGCAGGTGCCTGTTATTTGACCAGTGTCGGTGGCCAGTCGACACAAGTAAATGAGTTCCCAAACTTGACTCTGACCCACCTGCTTTAAACAAATTGGAGGAAGTCATTAAGTTCGTTTCCCCAGTTTCCTCTCTGAGGACAGTCTGGAGGCCGAGGCCTGGCTGAGTCCAGTCTCCTCAGGTGGAACAGGCCCAAAAGGAAGTGCAGGGCGGCCTGGGGGACAGCGAGGGTCAGTTTCAGGGCTGTGGAGATCCTGGAGCTGAGAGACGAGTGTCAGCCACAAAGGTGAAGCTGGATTTCAGGACCACAGCAGGCAGCAGCTGGGAGCTGTGAAGTTGGCAGGGCTGGGTTGCAGCCTCAGGTGCTCCTCTGGGCTGGGGCTTCCGGGCAAGCTGGTGATATCAGACGGGGCTGAGGGGGTCTGGGGAAGCGGGCAAGAACCAGCAAGAGAGGCCAGGGTGGGGTTGATCTTACACCCTCCGCTGAACGCTTGAGTTTCCTGTTTGTCAGTGTCCAGTCTTGTGTATGTGGGATTTTGGATTGTCCTTTTAGAGGCTCATGTGTGCCCGACACACTATTGTTCATATTGCCCAGTAGCTTTGTATCTATATAAACATATATATATGGGTGTTAAATATTTATCGAATGAATAAAGGAGGAAATGCAGATTCCAATTATTGATGGTGACATTAAAAGTCCTCTTAAATTCAAATATCAGAAATATGCTCTCCCATCTAATAAATAATTTTTGATGGTGCTGTTATTAATTTTCAGATATAATATATATGGTTTTTATATTTATTTTTAATATTAATCAGATATATATATATTATATACGTATTTTTAACAAGAAGCTTTACATTCTTCATCTTGTGATTTTTTCGGTTAAAAGAAAGGAAGTCTGCTTATAATCTTGTGCGTTATTTCTATGAATCGCCCTCTATACACAGGTATGTCAGATGCTGCCCAAGAGAATCTGTTTCATATGGTAATTTTCACTAATGAATCCAGACCTGTACTGTTACATTTTGCCCCAAACTGCCTGGGATGAAGTAGAGGAAGCTTGTTGCAGTCGGCGTGACAGTTCTTAGAGGATGCTCTCACAGTGTTTCATAACAGATGCAGAGGCTCTGTAGTTCTGAATATTAATACCAGCGCCATCAAAATTATTTATTAGGTAGGAGAGCATATTTCTGATATTTGAATTTAAGAGGACTTTGAGTACTTCCCAACGTCACCATCAATAATTGGAATCTGCATTTCCTCCTTTATTCATTCAATAAATATTTAACACCCATTATGTTCATGGCATCACATTAGACTCTGGGGGAGTTACAAAGAACCTAGGCTGGGCTCTGCCCTCAAGGGGAAAATAAAAGAAACAATTACATGTAATCGTTTTTAACACCAAGCAGCGTGAAACCCAGTTCTGGAGTATCCTGGTCACAAGGGGAGAAGGGGTCACGGGAGCCCCTCCAAGGCCAGCGCCCATGTGGCCACACCTTGCACCTTCCCAAGCATGGCCCCTCGCACCCTTCTCTTGTCTTTCCTTGTCCTCCCATGCCGTCAGGGTTTATGAGACCTGCGAGTCTCGGGGCATGGCTCTGGTCACTCTGGCCAGCGAGGATTATTCTCTGATGGGCTGTGGTCAGTGAAGCATAGCTTATCTGCCTCTTTCGATTTTCCTGCAATACCAGCAGAGACTGCTCAGTTTTAGGCAGGACTGAGACCTCCTCAAACATGGAATTTGTAGACAAAAATGAATACTTCCTAACATTTCCTGAGAGAGCTTTTGGTCAGCCTTACGCCTGCAACATTGCGTTGCTGCTGGGGGACCCAGGCACACAGAGGTGGCTGCAGCTGCACGCGAACACGGGGGGCTGGCTGGGGAGGGTGGCCAGGCCTTCATCTCTCTGACCCAGAGTAGGTGCTCAGTAAATGATCAGCGATGAGGCAAGTGAGTCAGGACTGAAATGTATGAGCACCACAAATTTAGGCCACTGTTCATTTAAAGCCTCAAAATTCGTGGAAGCAAGTGTTACGTGTGGAAGGTTGGCGGGCTGCAGAGGGTAGGGAAGACCTTGAAGATCCCCATATTTATATTCTAGGTGGTTTGTGCGATGTGGGCCATGGCCAGGTGTCATTCATTAACTCATTTGACACATACTTGTTTTAGCACTTGTGTGCGTAGCATGTGTTGGGATGCCAGGGGAGCCAGAAGGCAGTGCTTCCTTCCGGAACTTGTCTGTGCGTTGGAATCACCCGGGGAATCGCTTACAAATTCAAGCCCAGGCCACAGCGCAGGCCATGACACTCTGCAGGCATGGGGCACAGATCTCTGTATTTTGGAAGTGCCTAAGGGTGTTCTGGTATCAGAGGGGTTTGCAAGTCACTGCCGTTAGGAGTTTATCATAGAGTTTTAGATCACACCCAGGAAAATTCGGTCACGATACAAGACGGCCATCCAGAAACCTGCTGGGCAGGATGAGGGAGCCAAACCCAGGTCTGTGCTGCGGGCACCGCTCATTCCCACTCAAGGAGGACGTCCCCTGTGGATTAGGGAGTGGGAACATCTAGGCAAACTGGACCTGGGGTGTGCGTTAGCTTTGCCAGGTTCAAGAGAGGGAGGAAGGGGATCCTCTTGACTCTGAACTCAGGCAGGTCCGGATGTGACCTGGGATCACAGGTGGAATGGACTGGTCTGTCAAGAACTCAACTAGTCATTGCCATTGCAGTGGATGAATGTTTTTCTTATAAAAAACTGGGCCGGGCATGGTGGTCCACACCGGTAATCCCACAGCTTTGGGAGGCCAAGATGGGAAGATCACTTAAGGCCAGGATTTCAAGACCAGCCTGGGCAACACAGTGAGACTCCATTTCTACAAAAGATACAAAAAGTTAGTTGGGCTTGGTGGCATGTCTGTAGTCCCACCTACTTGGGAGGCTGAGTCGGGAGGATCACTTGAGCCCAGGAGTTCGAGGCTGCAGTGAGCTATGATCATGCCACTGCACTCTGGGCGACAGGACGAGACCCTGTCTGGCTGCTGGCGTTTCCCCTTGTGCGTATGTGGGCTGAGCACGATGTGGTGAAGCAGATCTCTCAGGATGGACACGCTCAGCTTCGTCACTTGTTGATTCTCTTGCTCTTAAAATCCCCTAGCCCTCTTAACGGCCACAGTGAACCTCCCCGTGTGAGCAAGTCAGCACGCCCGTGAGCCAGCTCAGGTGGGCACTTTCATGCCCCAGGATCTTGTGGAGCTGTGAAGTGGAGCTGCGCTTAGGGTGGGGAAGGCGCGTGACCTCGCGGTCCTGGCCACTCTAGGTGCCTTCAGGCCTCACTGCTCATCAACAGCCAGGCCACGTGGGCCTCATTTGGTATTCTTAGTACTTGCCATTTCTAATCAATTTTTTTACTTGAGTCTGTTATATGTTATTTCAGAGCGGGGAATGGAGTGTGTTAACACTTAGTAAATTCTTCATTAGCTGCAACCAAAGTTTTTCTTTCTTTCCCTTTCAAACCCACAGTGTGCCATGCCGAGCTGAATGCCATCATGAACAAAAATTCGACCGATGTGAAAGGCTGTAGTATGTATGTCGCCTTGTTCCCTTGTAATGAGTGTGCTAAGCTCATCATCCAGGCAGGTAGGAAGCGGGTCTTTTCATTTGTCACATTTGCATTGCTGCCTGCTCGCCAGTAGCTCACTGCTGATGTGTTTGATCTTAAATTGCCATTGTTTCGATCTAAATTAATTGCACTATCAACTTTGCAAGATATTTCCCGTGTTTTGTTTTTGAATGGTGCCAGGTATTCTAAGACTAATTGCATCCTCTGTGATTCTTAGCATGTTTTTAATTTAGTTTGCAACTTCTTAAACTGCAAGCTGCCAAAAAACAACACAGGCATTGCATATAATTACTGTCAATTTACTGTTCTCTGACATATTGTGCGTAGATTGGGGGGAGGGAGAGAAATGAACTTCTGTCAGAAACAAGGTCAGCTGGGAGTCTGTATGAAGTTTTAATTTGTATTTAATACATGGTAGATATTTGAGAATCTCAACATACCTTGGCATATAAATGTCGTAAGACCCAAATGGCACTACTTTCAGGTTTTCTTATGTTACAGTTTCCATAAATCTACACCATTGTATTCTGAATATTTCACCTTTTTCAAACTGTCACATCTGAGATTCAGCTACACTTTGTCTCCATAAATCTCTCGGCTGGAGATTTAAAGACTGATCATGTTTAGCGAGATGTGTGGTTTAAAGGGGCTGTTTATCACCAGCCCCGTGGATCTCAGAGCAGAAGGGGTCTGCTGGTCCTGAGGAGTCGCGTGGGCTCCCTCGCTCTCGCTCTCGCTGTCGCCGTTCCTGGGAAGCTCTCCTCGCGGTGCTCAGGTGTGCAGGCGGCAGCGGGCCTGTGGGCCGGGCAGTGTGGGCCCCACGCCGCAGCCTCTTCTCCCTTCAGAGGCTGGTGGAGCAGCGGCCTTCAGGATTTCTGGCTCCCAAGTTAGCGCTGCCTGCTGAGATCAGGACAAGAAGACAGATCTGCCCTCTGGAGAGCTGGTTCGAAGTGGTCTGCAAAGCCATGCTGGGAAGCACCGTGGTGCCCACCTCTGGATTTGCCAGCAGCCCCCACTCCCTCCATTAGTCCTCCCACTAGTAAGAGAAGCTACCTCGTGAATAAAGATGATTTGATTACCTGTAGTAATGGAAATTGGTTAATCGGATCAAGGCTTGACTACTTGACATGTTTTCCCTTTGCATTTGTTTTAAAAAAAAATCCATGAAGACTGGAGGGAAGATTACATATAATCCGCCCTCTGCTGTATTAGAAAGAGGGAGATATGTGTTTCAGTGACTGGACACTGTCTGCAAGCACACTCGGAAAAGGTCATTAATCACAGACACTAAAAGCGCTCCAGCCGCTTCCGCCTGTCTTTTGCAGCATCTGTATGTGTGTTTACTAAGGGAGCTCCCATTGTTACCTTACAGGTATAAAAGAAGTTATTTTCATGTCTGATAAATACCATGACAGTGACGAGGCAACAGCTGCGAGGCTCCTGTTTGATATGGCTGGGGTGGCGTTCCGGTAAGCAGGGAGAACGCGGGCAGGGGGTGGTGAAGGCTGGGGTGGCGTTCCGGTAAGCAGGGAGAACGCGGGCAGGGGGTGGTGAAGGCTGGGGTGACGTTCCGGTAAGCAGGGAGAACACAGGCAGGGGGTGGTGAAGGCTGATGAAGAGCCGCATTTGACCTTGTCTCCTCCTTGTGATGCCTGACTTCCACACTTGGAGGTGTCTTTAGAAATGCAAGGGCATAAGAATCTAAAGACTCTTATAGGGGTAGATATTTAAGAGCAGTGACAGGAAAATCTGAAGACAGTTTGTTTAATGATTGTACTTTAATTTCAGGAACTTTCCAGGAGTTAGACTAATTATTCAAGTGAGAAGTGTAAACATTCACAAGTTTTATAATGGGAACGCCAAACCTTGGTAAATTTTGCAAATGTAACAACTTTGGCATAGAAAATTTAGGATGGAAGTAGCCTGCCAGATTGAAAGACTGGGGATTCTTTTTTTTCTTTTTTTTTTTTTTTTTTGAGACCGAGTCTCTGCCACCAGGCTAGAGTGCGGCGGTGTGATCCTGGCTCACTGCAACCTCCACTTCCCAGACTCAAGCAATTCTCCTGCCTCAGCCTCCCCTGCCACACCCAGCTAATTTTTTTGTATTTTCAGTAGAGACAGGATTTTACCATGTTGGCCAGGATGGTCTTGATCTGTTGATCTCATGAGCTACCCACCTTGGCCTCCCAAAGTGCTGGGATTACAAGTGTGAGCCACCTGGGAATTCTTTTTACAGCAACATTTTGCATTGAGATTTGAAGTCTTACGGTTTTTATGATTGTCTTTGCTAAGAAAAGGTTGTGAGGTATATTTTACTTGCAAGTAAGCTCAGCCACCTTTAATTCATGGCAGAAAATTCGGTTGGGACTCTATAGCTTTCCAGCGCTTCATGGTATTGGCGTTCAGCAGCGGTGGGACCGTTGTCATAGGTGACGTGCCTGGCCCCCTGTGCTGGTTATTAGGAATATGGCTCAGCATATCTCATGAACTCAACTGTGGTGCTTTCTGAGACTTTAAATTCAAATTATTTACTTACTTTCTTGTTCAGTGATTCTTGAAAGAATTTGTTTTGTTCCCAAATATTTTCTTTTTAATTGTTGTAGAAGTAATGAGGAATGAGTGAAAAGTTAATGAGCAAAAAAAAAAAAAAAAAAGAAAGAAAAAGTTGGTTTATTTTATGTTTGCATTATTAGAACGTAATTTGAAAAATTACTCCTCACTAAAGGTAGTCGTTTTTTGCTATGTATAAGTGGCAAAAGAAAATTTACTTTTTTTTTTGCATTAGAGCAACTCCAACTTGGCTGCCAAAATTTTCTAGAAAAGAAGATAAATCTGATGGGAAAACTAGTAATCAGATACCATGTTGTGCAGCTAACTTGTTAGAAATCCTTTGACTCCCCACTAATTCATGAACTCAGATAGCTGGAAACCATACAAACCACACTACCCCACGCATCTTTTTTTGTCTTAGTCTTTTCTGGTCCGTGTTTCTCTCTCTATGCTGCACTATAATTGGCTCCTGTAGAGATAAAGTAGCAAGTGAATCCCAGGACATTTTTTTCTCTGCACAGAAAATACGAGTTAAGCCAAAGTAAACAAATTGCTGTAACTACTCACCAGATAATAACTGTATTTTGTTTTTGTTTTTGTTTTTCTTATTTTTAGGAAATTCACACCGAAGTGCAGCAAGATTGTCATTGACTTTGATTCAATTAACAGCAGACCGAGTCAAAAGCTTCAGTGAGTTACATCTCATTAAATCGCCAGGAGATTGGGATTATCCTCTTCTAAGAAGCTGCTAATGCCTTTCATCTTGAAGTTACACATAACTTTTTACTAGCCAGTACGGCAAAAGTAGACATCTAAAGAATATAAAGCCTCAAATCTTCCTTACTGTCTCTCCTGTCACATAGAATCTACATCTGTTTGAACTATTGATTTAGGGTTTAAAATAGGGGAGCCTGTGGTGGCCTGGTGCACAGGGCTAGAACAAGGGCGCTTCCCCTTCCTGTGTCCCGGCTGGCTGGGATGCTTGTGGCTCTTCAGAGGAGCATCAGCTGTCTGTCATCCGCTGCAATCCGGCAGCCTCTCTTCACTGCTACATGTGCTGGAAGGACAAATAAATAATTGTTGTTGTGTTCTTAGCGGGGACGAGCAGACACACTGATCTGAACATCTGGCCCAAGTGAAGCATGGCATATAGTGCCCTTGGAAGAAAATGAGGCCTCAAATGACAGTAGCATTGAAGTCTTTGCTGCGGAGTTGAGGGAAACCCCCAGCCACCCTCCTGGAATCGGAGATAGGGCGGCACATCTGTCCTGACAGACGAGGAGCGTAACTGAACCAGGAAGACTGCCTCCATCCCTGCTCTCCCGCTGCACCCAGGGTGGTGGCATGTTATCCCTCTGGGGGTGGGGCCCCCTGCCATTTTGGCTCAGTTTGGGTTTGTTGGTCACATGGAGCTCTTCCATTTCGTTTAGCTGAATAATGAGTTGTTCCTAGAGGAGACAGCCTATCTCTCCTTGTTACCCCCAAAGCCCATGCCCTGCCGTGGTGGCAGCTGGGGCTGTGGATAGGAGGGGTCCCGGATGTGGACGTGTTGCCCCCTCCTCCGCATGCCAGCGTGGTTCATTGACAAGCCCCTCTGCAACTGGAGAGAACATTAATTCCTGTCCCGGAAGTGGTTGTGAGAAATGCCGCCCACGTGGAGACAGTTTATTGCAGCACTATTGGTGTTGAGAGCTCCTCTGTGCCCTGGCTCCATGCCTTCATCTACACAAACATCACCTTCCTAGTCACCGCGGGGCGGGGAGCATGTGGCTGTGCCCCTTTAATCTCATTTAACTTTTATTAAACATGCTCAGTACCTGCGTTGAGAAAAGGCTTTCTTTATCCTAAAGATTATTACCTTTTTAAAGTGCTCTTATATTTTCATGAGTTTTTATTTTGTCTCTGAGATTTTGTATTCCACATTCTAGGGTATTCTGTAATTTGGCTCCTTACCAATATTAAAATCTTATTAAAATCTACCTTGCCAGAGCATGTACGTTTTTATGTTACTATAATTATATGCTTAACTCTCCGCTCCTGTCCTTTCTGTATTGTCTCTGAAGCACATTACATATGTTTTAATGCTCAAAGAATAATCTGAGATGCCCGAGCTGTGTGCGCTCCCCAGGGTTGATGGCTGGGGCTGCTTTATGGACCAGATTTATGTAAGATGCTAAGGCAGCCGCTGGTCCTACCCTCCCTCCTGTGTACCCTGCCCTGGTCCAAGGTGTGGCCATCTGGTAGGGCCCAGGCCTCTGCCCCACCAGAAGGCTTCAGTCCCAAGTTCTGCCCTTTGCTGACTTCTCACCTTATCCTCTTTCCAATCTCTCTTCTAAATTTCCTTCTCTTTTCTCCTTCAAACTCCTCGCCCTCTGTTTGCTCCAAAATACGTAAAACAAAAGGTATGTGGAAGAATCAGTAGACTGAAAGGTAGAAAATAAGAGGTTTCTATATTGCTGCGAGTCACAAGACTGGTGAGTCCTGTTAGCATGGAGTGTGTCATTTTCGTCACATCACATTATAAATATGTCTAGGGGCTGATAAGCCAGTAGCGCATCTAATTTATTTAATTTTGATACTATCTTATATTTTGTCGGTTGTTACATTCAGTTTCAGTGAAAAAGAAAATTGACTTTTTTCTTTTTCTCTCTTTGAGGGGAGGCTGGCGGGAAGGGTCTTTGCTAAAAGGGAAGTCCAGGTATTCAGGACAGTGGTGGGTGTTTATTTGGGGGCACACGCTGTCGCTGGGGGTTTGTGACGCTTCCACCTATGAACCGACCCTGGTTTCCTCGTGACTGGAGTGTGATTATGTCTTCGATTCTAGGATCACGATAAGAATAGTAGAATTGTCCTATCCAGAGAATTCTGCAGATGTTCATGTTCCAGTTAATAGAGGTTCGCTTTGAACTGGTGCCTTCGGGAGAGGCTTTCCAGAAGGAAGGGGTTTTGCGCAGTCTTGTGCCTCGCAGGCATTACTAGATAATTGTGGTGAAGGGAGACTGTATCTGAGCCAATGTTGCTGCTTGTCATGGCTAACAAATGACAATAAGGAAACCATCTTTCACTGAAACGTCGGTAGAAGGACTACATTTAAAAGGCAAAATTTGTGAGTGAAACGATAGGAACTCCATTTCCCTGACACGTTTTCTGCTTCCTTCCCTTTTACTCTTTTAGCAATCTGTCCTTAAAGACTTCTGAAGCTAACAAGACCCAGCAGTGAAAGTGAGCTAATGTATTAGCCATCTTTTCCTAAATTAAAAATGAAGCAAAGTAAGAGAACAAGCATACAAACTGAGCTCATGAATAAAAACGTAGGCTTGCAAGCCCAGTGAGCGGACGTTCCTGTGGCCCCGGTGTAATTTTTGATCTTCCAATGTCTGTGTCTACCTGAGGATTAAAAATATTTAGGTTGTTGCAAAAGGGCCTGAGGAATGCAGGGAGGGAGTTTTCTCATTGGCGAGGCTGATAAGAAGTTTTAATATTTATAGTTCACTTTTCTTGTTGTTGTTAAAGTAAAGCCACTCTAAAAATTGTGGTTTCTACAAATCATTAGTCAGGAGGCCTGTCTAAGCCTCCAGGGAGGGACCCGAACTCAAGGTTGGGGTGCTTTGCAAGCTCTCTTGCCAGGGAACCCTGATAACCAGAGTTATGGATTACCGGCTGCAGAGGTGCCGGCAAAATAACCCTGGGCCCAGGAGTCGCATTTAGAGCAGGGTGCCCCAGAATTCTTCGGGAGATGCCTTTAGCTAGCTTGACTTTATTTCAGAACTGTTGGAAATCTAAAGCCATTGCATCGTGAGGGTATATGAATCTCAAATAGTTACTGAGTACCTACCATGTATTGGGTTCTCTGATGGCTCCTGGGTGAGGGTTAGAACAGACTGGATAGCTAGATATTAGACAAGTTCTTAGATGAAGACCCAATTTGCCACCTACATCCCTGAGCCATGCAGGTGCCACCTGCACTTTATTTCCTCTGTAATTGGGTTGTCTATTATTTTGCATCTGTACCCACTGGAGGAAGACCCTGGGGAGAGGGCAGGGACCAGACATGAAGAGTCTGCAGGAGCTGGGTTCTTACCCTGATTCCAAGGCCGAAGACTTTAAAAAATTCTACAAGTCCTGGCGGGGTGCGGTGGCTCAAGCCTGTAATCCCAGCAGGCTTGTAATCCCGTGGCCTTTGGCAGGCCGAGGCAGGCAGATCACCTGAGGTCGGGAGTTCGCGACCAGCCTGACCAACATGGAGAAAGCCCATCTCTACTAAAAACACAAAATCAGCCAGGTGTGGTGGTGCACGCCTGTAATCCCAGCTACTCAGGAGGCTGAGGCGGGAGAATCACTTGAACCCGGGAGGTGGAGATTGCGGTGAGCTGAGATCGCACCATTGCACTCCAGCCTGGGCAACAGGAGCGAAACTCCGTCTCAGAAAAAAAAAAAAAAAAAAATTCTACAAGTCCTTCATTAAATTAAAATGAGTTCAGTATTTCCCAAGAAAATCAGGGGAAGGGTTCTCTGTTAATGAAAGAAAAGCGTAGCATCTGCTCACTGCTCAGGCATGGAAAGGTGTTGCCCTTATTTTTGGTAGCCAACTGCCAAATCTCTTCTCTGGAGCCCCGGTCCACAACTTTGCTTGGCTGCTGCCATTCTTAGCCATTTTTCAGGTCAGTGGTATGAATTACACGCGTGTTGTGCTGCCATCACCACCATCCGTCTCCAGAGCTCTGCATCTTGCAAAACTGAAACTCCATACCCATTATACAGTAACTCGGTCTTCCCCCTCCCCAGAACTGGCATCCACCATTCTACTTTCTGTATGAATTTCACCACTCTCAGTACCTCATATAAGTGGAATCGTACAGAATTTTCTCTTTTTGATTGGCTACTTAGCATCATGTCTTCAAGGTGCATCCAGGTTGTAGCCTGTGTCAGGATTTCCTTCCATCTGAAGGCTGAAGAATCGCCCATCGTGTTCACACACCACCTTTAATTTAGCCATTCATGCGCCAGTGGACACCTGGGCTGCTCCCATCTTCTGCTGCCATCCTTTCTGCAGTGCATCTCTCTAACCTAGTAGTTTCCAAATGACCAATAATATCATGCGTGGGTTAAACATCAATTCAAAATACAAGACAGACCAAATGATTTTAATGTAAGATAATAACTATTCATTAATATGATTTCAGATTTCACATTGCAACTAGCTTTTCAGAAACTTTCATATATCAAATTGTGGTGCGGTACCAAAGACTATCCACAATTTTCTGAAAATGCAAAAATGACCCACGCATGATATTATTGGTCATTTGGAAACTACTAGTTCACTGAATTATGCAGATCTTTCAAGCATCGACACATTTCACTGTACCATCTAATCTAGCCCCGTCTGCCTCAGCCACCCAGTGGCCTTCCTCCCTGTACCAGTTACCTACCTTGAAGGATTGTTCTATTTTAAAAATCAACATTTTTTTTCTTTCTTTTTTTTGAAACAGGGTCTCACTCTGTCACTCAGGCTAGAGTGCAGTGGCATGATCATATCTCACTGCAGCCTCAACCTCCTGGGCTCAAATGATCCTCCCACCTCAGCCTCCCAAGTAGCTGGAACCACAGACATGCATCCCCACACTAATTCCCTGGCTAATTGTTATTTATTTTATATTTTTTGTAGAGATGGAGTCTCACTATGTTGCCCAGGCTGGTCTCAAACTCCTGGGCCCACGCGATCCTCCTGCTTTGGCCTCCCAAAGTGCTGGGATTGCAGGCATGAGCCACCTTTCATGGCCTAAACCCAGCATTTCTAAGAGCCTCTTCCTGTGCTTCCTTTGACCAACCCCAGGTTTCCATGCATCTTTCAAGACTCAGTTGGATCCTGCATTCTCTATAAAGTCTCCCTAGACCTTCCTGAGCTTGAAGTGACTTTTTCTTCTTTGAAATCCTGCAGCAGTTATTGTCAGCAACCATCTTTCTGGCAATGAATCATGTACTGTTTTATGATATCTCTTCTACTGTCTAGAACTGTTATTGAAACATTTCATTTAACTTTTCATATGTATCTTGTCCTGCTCTAACGAGGTCATAAACTCCACAGAGCGCATGTGGCGTCCTGTGTATCTTGGTGCCTGGCTACCATTTCTCTCCACGTCTGCACAGGACCCTTTGCAGAGGGGCTTCATACGCATTTTTAATATTTCCACTTAAAAGTTATGAACTTGATTGCACTTTAATTCAGTGAGGTAGCTGAGCAGGAGCCAACTTCCTAAAGTATTTTTTCCATGCTGATTTCTTTGTGAATGGCTTGAAAAAAATTGCCATCTGGAATGTAAGAGAAAGAAATCTTCCTGTTAGCACCCAGGGCTAATGGGCACATTTATCTTTGAGAGAGACAGGAGATTACTATTTAAATGTCTTATTTTTAACTTCTGCGTTTCAGTTAAAGCATTCCTATATATAGTTTTGAATGAGGAATTTGGCAATAACGGACAGTTGGCAGAAAACCCAGAGATGATGCTTCCACTGAACCCCATCTGATTAGAGGATTTCTTGACCTTTCCAGGTCTTAAATCACTATTGAATGCTTTCTGTTGTAGGAGTTCTTTATGTTAACTTTTGTTAATGAAAGCTGTTAGAAACTTAAACATGCCATTTGGTCCAGGTTTTAAATGGACATTCTGTTCTGGAATTGCTTCCTCTGCAGGGGTGGGCATGGTGTGCAGCCTTTTGATTTATTCTGCCTTTCCCCAGTCTCCGAATCAATAGGCATCAGTAATGCATGTAAGTAACAGGCCCCTGACTTTCAGTGACTAAACAAGTAACATATTTTTCCTCACATAGTAAATACGGTGGTAAGCATTTGCGGGAGTTGTGTCAGCTGCTCCATGATGTCTGCAAAGATCTAGGCTTTTTTCTTTATTTCTATCTTTTATGTCTTCAGGCTTGTTTTGTCAAACAGCTTCAGGCATCCCATTCACACTAAATGCAAGGAGATGGATG